AATGTCTAGATCGACCCCGATCGATATTCTACGTTTCTCTTCATCTGAAATGCAACGATTTGATTCATCACCATTTCTAACATTGGCAACATGCTGTAATCCAAGCTCTTGGAGTAACTGATCTTTTATTCTGATCGCGGCCTTGCCATGGCCATCGTGCAACCTGAGACGAGAGTTGTACATGAGATTTTTTTTTGGACGGTTAGAAGCGGGAAAAGGAACTCATCTTGTGTAACATAATCTAGTATCCTTCGAAAGTGGCCAGGATCTAGTGCTTTGTTATTTAAAAGAACACGCTCTAATCCAGGATCATTCCATCTCTAACTTCCAACAATGTTTGTCTTGCCAGCCCCTCTGCGACCAGCAATTGTCAAGATTTCCTAGGTCTAGCGTCAGAATTCACGTTTTTCAGAAACTAACGCTTAGATGTTTTGGTGGATAAGAAAGACATTAATAAAGAACCTAAAAACAATCATTAAATTTAGATTTAATTTTAATATGCATTAATGAAGAATTTGATTTGGAAAATAAAAAATTAGTGTATAAATGATGTCGGAAAAAAAATTGACGTGAACCCTTGTAATTAGTCGGGATTATTGATGACATGGTGAAAAATATTCATGAAATAATTTCTCCAAGTTTACTAATGTGATCTTCGTATTAATTGATGATAGCATTTAGTAACCTTCACAACTTCTTTATTGTTTCATGTTATCTTCATTTTATAAAATTCGAGAATCAATTTTCAAAAATAAAATTACATCTCATAAATCAAATGTACCCTTAAATTATACATGATATATTATTCGAAGATTCAACAACATACATAAAATAAATATTTGTTTAGAACTCTCTTAATCAATTAACAACATAAACCATGTAGTTACAGCTACTCAAACTTAAGACATCTAGGAATAATAATATTCTATTTTACGGTTGAGTCCACTTGACGGTATTATAGTAACACACTTATTGGTATTTTATAGCACACCTTAAATAAGGTAACATAAGATTGATTTAAACACAAATATGCATGGCCAAGCACCAAGAAAGCTGGAAAACGAGTCTTTAAATGGGTATCGGATCAACGAACAACGTACGGATGTAATCTTTCACATATTTGGGATCTGTGTAACCATCTCCATGCTTATAAAACATATATGACGGTCGAGCAAAGTTCAAATGTCGTAAGAGCAGATCTCTTGGAACGACTGTAGGTGTCATACATTCCTCGTTTATATCCTTCCATGCATCCTCCAACAGTTTCTCAAATGCTTTAAGAGTAAGTTTCTCTGAAAGGTTGTGTTGTTTCATGAAGCATTCAACACTGGAAGGCGCATGCTCTCGCAATTGCTCAAACTTCAATCGGAACAAGCGAACCAGTCAAATAAATTGAAATAATTGTTTTAAGGTAATCAATAGTAGAAATATAAAGAGATACCTTATGTGACACTATGTCATCCATGAGACGACCTATAACATCTATAGCCTCCATAATTTTGGGTTCCTTTCGGAGCCATTCAAATGCTTCTGTCCCTGCCATTTCCCCCATCCCGATGAATGCTATTGTCATCAATACACCGAAAGTGGATGTCTTCTTTGCAACGCTCATGTACTCCTCAAATGTTGGTACATAACCATCATGATACCATTTCGTCTCAGCATGATAGTCGTTCGCTAATTGAAGGAGCTAAATCATACGGCCAATTAGAATGAACAAATACTCATAAGGGAAACATGAGCTATTGATGAATAACTTACAGCCTCTTTTGCATAAGGGACACAATAAGATCTTCCTTCCTTCGTAGCCTCTTCATATATTTCATCAAAAACCGCAAGCACGGCATTGCAGATAACTTTAGTGTAATCTTGCAACTCATCCAGAGCACCAATCTCCCACCTGGAAACTATGAAAGTGTATGAACATTAGTTCTAGTACTTGGGAGATGACTAAGATCAGTATGATAAGTAGAAGAATGCATCTTGTGACCTCTTTAACGCATCTATAAAACGTTGAAGCTCTTGAGGTGTCCCATATGCATCAAACGTGTCATCTAAATTGATATAACTACTAACAGCTTAGAAAGAAGTATCCGCCACTGTGTATAGCGAGGTTCATAAAATAGGGAATTGATCCATGTGTAGACCTCCACGTATCTCTCCGTGCATAAGAAAGCTCAGAGGAAAACTTGTTGTCCTCCCAAAACCTACGATATAAAAATACCATTATCATGCATGAAAAAGTCATCAGAAAACCATTCCTCAAAGTAATGCCAAATGCTTTCTTTTTTTACCTTGCGATTTGGCTGATCTCCTGTTTATGAAGTAGTTGTACTCGATTAAAGTCTAGCTTTGCAAACTTTAGCAGGATCTCATTTCTGGACACTTCTCCTCATAGAAAGAGATATAGGTCCTTGCCGCCAGCCTTGGAGGGGATTTGTTCAATGGCTGATCAAGGGCGTTGGTTATTTGCTTGACAAGAAGCGGGCTAAACTTGTTTGCCGATGAGTTCAAGTTTTCCGTGGTGAATGCAAGGGCTTCCTCTAATATACACTCTCCATGAACTCTCAGATGGCTAGCTTCGTACAGACTTAATATTCCCTTACCATCATCGATCAGGATTTCTTTCAACTTTCCATCAATGTCTTTGAATTTGTTGAAAACATCTGATTCGCATAGTGGATTAGTTAATAATAACATGAATAGTTATTTCAGTATTCACATGTGAATGTCGTAATCCTTACCGCAAGACATTTTAAAGCCATATTGTCTGAAAACTCGAAAGACAATAGAAGTAGAGTTTAAGTCAAGGTCATTTCCGGCGACAAGGACACTTTGGAGGGAATTGAAAATGCTTTCCAATTGGTTTTCTATATCATTCTCAAAGTGATATGAAACACCAAGACGAAGCAGAGCATCTATGAATTTAACATTCTCAATAGGATCAGCTGTAGAAGCCATCAACATGTCCTTCACTTTCTCTTTCAACGGGTCAATTTCTTTGGTTAAAGAATCAAATACCTGAGACTGCTTGAAAAAGTCATTGAAAAAGAAAAAATAGAGTGCACGTTTTTACCAGAAAATGGAAAATTACCAAGTCATGAGCAGGAAGAAATTGGTCTCTCCATATATTTTTGGAGAAAGTAGCAATGGGACGGAAAACTTCGCAGACTTCTTTACCGACATATTTCTAGGAATATAATTTATAAGTAGAATAGTCTCACTTGTTATGCAGGTCGGCTTCCAATACTCCAGCAGTCCAGCCATATTTATAAATACTTGGAACTTAGAATCATTTTTTCAATTTTCATTTAAAATTAAGTCTTTTGTTTTTAAATTTTGATCGCAGCCCCACTTGTGTTGCGTTGAATTACCATTTATTAACCTAAAAAATGATAGGCAGGACAATTTAGTAAAGACAACCATCTTACTATTAAACAGTTGACAGACATAGATTTATTATGACTGTGATGTTTTGTATTAATAGATATCAATTTTTTCTCATATCGTGAAATCAAAAATAAAAAAATAGAATATAGTTAGGGTATTAATGGTATGATTAGATCTGTAAGCAGCTTGCAGCAGGCATCATCAAATTATTTTATATAGTTTGATTAAGACGAGGGAGGCGGCTAAAACACTACTTTTCTTTCACTTTCTGACAGTTGAACGAAAATTAAATGATTCCGGTTGGAGTCACCGCAGATTTAGATTTCGTATAGAGTGGGTTTATATGATGGATCAAACGAGTTTAAGTACATTTAATTTTCTCTCTCTCAAAGTTTCTTGCTCTTTGGTCAAATGATCCTACTTGAATACAGGTTAACCTGTCACCGTTAACCAAAACTCCACCACAACATCATTGATGATTTTAAATGTATATAAACAGGGCCTTGACTAGGTTATTAGAGATCTTGTGTAAATTTTTATAAGGGACTCTTAGATCTCGAACTTATTTTTCTGAAATAATAAATGATTAATTTTAAATTTGAACTTGTTTTTCCCAAAAATAAATTTGTTTGTTAACGATATTCAAACTTAAGATCAACAAAGTCATAGGTCCAATGATCTAACCACTGCTCTATGTCTATTTTTTTGTTTATTAATGATAATAACTGATTGATATACTCTATTTTGGGCCCTTTTTTTTGAAGTCCTACGCCGTCGCACACTATGCGCTTTCTCAACCACGCCCCTATATATAAATAGATAAAAACTAGTTAACGATTCAAAACATATATATAGATAAATTAAAATGATAATAAATATTATTAAAACGATATGCCAAATCAAATTTTAAGAATAAATAAATCTTATTATAATAACAAACAAACAAAAACGTATGTCAAGAGCGGACAAACCACCATCATTATTATGTGAAAATGATATTAATTAAATAAAATAAAATAGAATTCAAATTTTGAATATTTATAATTAAAAATAAGAACGATTAACCTTTTTTACCTTTATAATTCTACTATTAATTAGCTTAAAAAAATTATATCAATTAATTTGCGTGTCGCTTATTCCAATGAAAGCACAAGCAATTGAGGAAGCAATTGAGGAAACAACACAGCCTTTCAGAGAAACTTACGCTTAAAGATTTTGAGAAACTATTGGAGGATTCATGGAAGGATGTAAATGAAGAATGCAAGAGAGCAGCAACCGGCCGTAGAGATCTGCTCGTACGACATTTGAACTTTGCTCTACTATCATATTTGTTCTACAAGCATGGACGATCATGCTGCTTACGCCTTACGGAAGCGGGTTTATAATAGCCGCTTTTCAGCTAGGGTTTAAAATGTGCATGCAGGACAGGGGGTCCAAAAGCAAGGATGAGAACAAAATCTTAAATGGATGTTTTTCAGGTGGAAGAATTGGTGCACCGAAGAAAAAGCAAATAAACAAATTAAAATAACTATTAATTTTTTTTTCATTGTCACATTTTATATTTCCAGAGTTTGAGAATTATTTTAGACCGAAAAGGAAACCCCACAAAAGAAAATCTTATTCCGAGATTTAGGCCGCGTCGATATTGGATAAAAGCAAACCCCATAATTCGAAGTCAAACATAATTTAATGTGCAGCGGAATGATATGGAATGGGAACTAAGCAAAGCTCATGCTTCTTTGCTACTGTGGCCCCGAAGACTTCGTCCATGTTCAGCTCTTCCAATTTTCTTCCATCACCAAGTTTCCAATCAAAATAATACAACAATTGTGCAATTGGAAGCTCAACATTGGCCATGCCGAATGCTATGCCTGGACAAATCCTCCTCCCAGCACCAAATGGAATGTACTCAAAATTAACTCCTTTGAATTCAATCCAACTGTTAAGAAATCTTTCTGGATTGAATGTTTCGGCTTCTGTCCAATACTTGGGATCTCTCCCAATTGCCCATCCATTGATTATGACTCTAGACTTGGCTGGTATCTCGTATCCATTGATTTTACAGTTTTCCTTGCTTTCTCTTGGTAGCAGCAATGGCAGTGCAGGATGTAATCTCAATGTTTCCTTCATGACTAATTTTAGGTACTTTAATTCGGAGAGGCTCTCTTCATTTACCTCTCCTCTTTTATTGAAGACGTGCCTCACCTCTGCTTGTGCCTTTTCCAAAACTTTTGGATTTTTTAACATTTCAGACATTGCCCATTCTATGGTCATGGATGTTGTCTCCCCTCCAGCAGAAAACATGTCCTGTTACAAGATAGTTCAAGTTACATGTCTATGCTTTAACAGTGTACACAAATGTTCAATGATGGTACCTGGACCACTGCCTTGATATTAGAGTCGGTTAATGGTATTTCGAGATTTCCATGCTCCTGAAGATTTAACAAAACGTGAACCAGATCATTCTGTTCATCTTTGTCACCACTCTTTGTGTTCGAACGATCGGCTCTGTGTTGTTGGATGATGTTTTCGAGAATCTTGTCCGATTTTCTGTGCAGCTTTTCGAGTTGAAAGCTTCTTCCGCTCAGGAGTTGAAGTAATTTGAAGGAAGGGAAGGCATCAGCAAGACTAAAGCCTCCAACAATCTCGACTGCTTCCTGGACCACTTGAGAGAAAGCTTCACGGTCTTTGCATTTTGCACCAAAGGCAGCCCTGGCGGTGATATTAGACGTCAATGCTCGCAACAATTTTCTAAGGTTAACAGGTGATCCGGCCTTGGAACGAATGGAAGAAACGAAATTCGATACCTCTTCTTCCCTGATAGCTCGGAACGACTGAACTCGTTTAGCACTCAACAGTTCCAAAGTGCAAATTTTCCTCAGCTGCCTCCAATAGTCTCCATAAGGAGCGAAACCGATATCTGTGAAATCGTAAAACAGGATCCTTGCAGCAGGGTGATATGGCCTGCTAGAGAAATTCAGGTCATGTGTTTTCATCACATCTTGAGCTGCTTCCGGTGAAGAAATGACGAAATTGGAGAGCTCGCCAAGTTGTAAGTACATGACAGGGCCATGTCTGTTGGCCAAATCTCTGAGGCAGCGATGTGGAAGGGAGCCAATGAAGTGATGCATGTTGCCAATGAGAGGCAGTTTCCATGGCCCTGGGGGTAGTTTTCCTTGCTGTGTTTTGCAACTGGATTTGTTCATCCATATCCAAATGACTGTCAAGGCAAAGAGGATGATTGCGAGTAGGATTTGAGGGTCCATTTTACAACAAAAGGGGATGACTCAGATTCTTGCTTCGGGCAATGCACTATCAAATCTGCTGGTTCAACTGTTCTTTATAATCAATTTATAGCCAAATCAATAAACTATTATTGGTGTGCAGCCAACTGGTAAACTTAATAGAGTTTCACAGTTTATAGCCTCTTTTCTGATAATTGAATTAAATTAAATGAATCTAGTTAGCAGGTGTTGAGTTTTCGTTTCTTATTTATTATTGAATTATATATATACTATTGACTCATAAAGAATTCAACACCGAGAACAGCGACTTCGACCAGAAACCAAAAGATCTGGCATTATTTAATGTCCCACGTTGCAAGTTGCACCATTTAATATTAGTTTTAATGATTAAATAAAGTGTTTTTTAAGGTCTTGAATTTAAACAGTTATGTTTATAGGTGTATGTGTTGGTGATACCAAATAAATATTTTAAATATATATTATTTTATAATCAGAGACTCTATTAAAAAAAGTTATTAGTTTTAAGGAAAATTCTAGAATAGGCGTCGCATACAGAAACATATCATTAATATGACACACAATGCGTACTACTAATTAAATTATCCTTATTAAATAAATATAAAAAAATATAATGATCTATCCACAATTAATATTTTTTTATTATTTAGTTTAAATTTTAATAGGAATATAATTAAATAATATTTTATTAAAAATTATAATTATTTTAAGGATTTTTATTTAGGATTGGAACAATTAATTTATATTAAGTTTCATATTCATCATAGTAGCAACCATCAAAATCAACCGTTGATGATCATATTCATCTCGAAAAATTGTATTCTTCAACGTATACTATCGTCGAAGAGCTATATCAAGAGGAAACTTGTCTTTCTTTTCACCGAACGTCGCCCAACAACCGACTATTCAGGGTGGAGTTTAGTGAGGGTTCAACCCCTGTTAAAATTTGTATATTCGATATAATTTTAGTCCAATAGTATTTTGGTTTATATAAAAAAAATATTTAAATTAAAAAATATAAGAATTTATTAAATATATAATGAAGTAGAGTTCGAACTAAAAATAATAGCAAAGGCAGCACTGACTTCTTTCTCTTACACCGCTCCGGGGGCTTTGGTGCTCTCTCGGACACAGACAAGACGGGAACTAGTCTTTTAAAAGCTAGTACTTGGAACAAGGCGGAATGAAAGTCAAAATTTTTGGTCTAATAATAATTTAGGTCATTGTAAGTTTTAATATTACACAAATTAAGTGTTATCTCGTGAATTTTGAGTTTTTTAATATAAATCTAGGGTGAATACAAGATAATATATGTACAAAGACTCTCAACTATTTGACAATGAAATCTCATACCCCTACATGCACATTGCTCGAACTCAAGACCTCAAGCATACCAACAATCCCTTAATCACTAAGGTCACTTAATTCGTGCTGAATTTTGAATTTAAATAACTAATAAATATTTATATTTTTCTTAAACAATCCAATATTTCGGTCACTGTCAATATTTAGTTCTGGTTTCGTCTCTGCGTCTACTGATTACCTTTGCCGTTTGCATCGCACACCACCATCTGAGGTAAGCCAATCCGACTTGATAATGTGCAAATGTACCGGCAACGACGAGGACGTGAATAAGTTGGTTGCTGTGCCCAGCAATATCGAATTTTCCAGGATCTCGTACACAATTGTGTGAAGTGCCTCGGTGTTGATTTACGTTGATTTAGCACCAACAATAATCGAAGAAGGGTACAATTTATAACCAGAGCTAAAACCTATAACAGCATGCAAGCTGTGAACCAGCTGACATAACCAACTAACAAATCACATAACAGATGCTACGTCAGCAGCTTCAGCGACACGCTAACATTCTCTCTACTATATCAACCTTCAAGTTCAGCGGTATCGAAAACATTAACCTATTGCCGAAAAATAGGAAAGTATGACTTAGTCAGCATGAAACACCCATGCTTATGTATTTTTTTTATTGAACCACAGCAAAACTGTAACGTAAAATACTAGTGGTTGCAAAGAATGTGTCAAGTTTCACTGCCCACTAACCTATACTTAATGAAATCGACGAATGAAAAAGGTATCTAATGTCCTGAACGAAATGACAACAGATTTTTAATTTAGTTTTATAACTCCAACTTGGGGGGAGGACAAAGCAGATTTACATTAGCTTTCACAAGTTATACTTGAAGCATGTGAGAATAATATCTAGACAAAACAGGGGAAAATTGCCCGCGGTGTGCGATGCAAACGGTAACGATAGATATAATCAACGGTCGGTTGTTGTGCGACGTTTGGTGAAGAGAAAGACTAGTTTCCTCTTGGTATAGCTCTTCTACGGCCGTGTATGTTGAAGAACACAATTTTTCGGTGATGAATATGAGCGTCGCGATTGATTTTGATGATTGTTGTTGGGATAAATATACAAACCCATATAAATTAAGTGTTCTAATCCTAAACAAAAATTCTTAAAATAATTATAATTTTTAATAAAAAAATATAATTTAATTATATTCCTATTAAAAGTTAAACGGTCAGGCGCGCGGCGGCTGTTGAATGTGTAACCCCCTAGACCCGGCCTATACGTTTCGACTAAGTCTAGTGGATCACATTATGATTATTAAAGACATTTTTCGAAACCGTTATTCCATCAATATAAAATCACATTATAAATAACATGAAATTATAATAAATCATACTATCAAAACCCAACTTGTAAATATAATATCAATAAGTAATAAATTAATTTAAAACATATCTTAAAGAAAAAAATCAAATCACGATAACCCGAATAGTAATAGCAAAAGTGTCATCATATTAAAATCCCATACTTTAAAATAAGGTCCATGTAACAAAATAAAGTCAACTTGCAAGGTAAAAACATTACAATAAAATATACTTCAAGAGATATGTTGATCCTCCAAGTGCTCAATCCAGGGTATCTAACCAACAGTATCTGAAAGGGGAAAAATATTTTCGAAAAGTGAGCTAGGCTCAGTGTGTCCCAATATTACCATAAAATCACTATAGGTACACTAAACAAATCATAGTCCAATAAGTCTCATAAAATTATACTGCAGTAAATCTCTTTACAAAGCGTTACCCTAAGGGAACATCTTAGGGCCTGAGAGCCTACCCAAGATAGATTTCGGGGCCGTGGGGCCTACCTAAGAACACATCTTAGGGCCACAGGGCCTACCCGAGAATGATCTCAGGGCCGCAGAGCCTACCTAAGAGTCACATTAGGTCCGTAAAATTTTCCAGCTTGATCAGAGCTGTACTTTATAAATTCGTATTCCAAAAATTTAATTGCACCGTGTTATAAATTCCATAAATCCATAAACATGGTAATCATATACCATTTCAAAACAAATATCAGATAACAGTCATAATCCATAAATCATCACATTAAATCGGTGCATCAACAATACGGAAACCAAAGAATTCAGTGTACCACATATTAAAACAAATAAAACAGTTCAGTAATAAATAGGGAACACACCTCAATAATATGTTCAAATCGTGGATCTACTGATTGCTGGTTTCACCACGCTCTGCTACAGTTTTCGAACCTAATTTATAATATCACTATCTTACTAATGGGTAACATAAATAAATCTCTAAAATCATAAAATTTACGAGTCTTACGAGTGAATACTGGTATACGTGGTTTAACTGATCTAGAAGAGTTGGGTAGAGCTATCGAACGATCCGGAGAGTCTCTTGTACCTTCAAACAATAATAATTAATCAGCCCCAAATCTTACTTAATTGTTCAAAGCTAGAATTCTTAAGTATATAAGCATTTTTCGGGTTTGACTATCATTTTGGGGTATTTCGAGTCTGAATTTGGCCAAACGGATTGCGGAATCGGAATCAGGACGTCGAAAAACATAAAGTATGACTTTTTGAAAATTCAGATTCTTGGTCAAAGTCAAAGTCAACCACTTTGACCGTCGATTTGGAGGCCTTCAGATTCGAATTTGATGAAACGAACAGCGGAAACGGATTCGGCACGTCAAAAACTATCAGGATAGGTATACTCGGAAAAGATTAACGGTCGTTTAATGCTCAGTCAAAGCCATTTTAAGTTTTGGTCAAAGGAAGTCAACGGTCAATGGTCAACGGTCAACGGTCAACGGTTGGGTCGGGTCAACAGTCGGGTCGGGTCCGGTCAGTCGGGTCGGGTCATTCCGGTTCAGACCGGTCAAACCGGTTCAGACCGGTCAAACCGGTTTAAAACTGGTCAAACCGGTTTAAAACTGGTCAAACCGGTTTTCCAGCAGCTCACTCTCCCTGCGGCGGCGCGTGCGGCGCGTGAACAGTGCCACGGTGTCGGAAAATTCCCGGAAAAATTTCTAAAAATTATTTTGAGCGATTTCGAGATACTTACAACGATCGGTTCAAATTTTTGAACGGCGGAGAGCTCGTATTCCCACTCGGCCGAATCTTAGACTGCTCCACCTCCTCACGCGCCGTCGTCAACGACGAACAAGGTTGACACCGGCGGACTCGCAACGACACAAGGAACACGATGGTGCAGGAGGTGTCGTAAACGGAACAACGATCGGCGGTGAATTTAAGTTTTTCTCGGTGATGGATCTAAAAATAACGTCGAGACTTTGACTGTAAATTCCCGACGTTTGGCAGCGTTTCACTTCAATTAATTTGAAGGGTTTGTTCCTCGCTTGAAGATGAACACAACGGTGGTTTCAAAACAACGATCGGAATTCGGACGGCGTCTAGATCGGGGTTTGAAGTTAGGCGTTCGGGAGAGGATTTGGGCGTGGTTTTCTGTTTGAAACAGAAAACCACGATACAACATATAATACCATCCTTACCTAATTTTATTGGGTAAATTCAGAGCTTGGTCCCTGAATTTTCTTGAACTCTAAAACAAGCTCCAAGTTTTAAAATCTTTTAATTTAGTCCTCACAGTTTACCAATTTTCACAATTAAAGCCTCAAACTTCAATTTAATAATATTCTAATTTTTCCGGGTTGTTACAATTCTCCCCCTCTACAAGAAATTTCG